TACAGTTTTGTTTGAAGTATTCTGCTGTGCACAGTCATTTCTCTTTTCCTGAACACCAGGTTCAAAGAGAAACCAGGGTAGACCAGAAGTGAGGAGACAGTGGATTCTCTGCAGCACAGAGGCAACATCATCGCACTAAGCCTCGTCCCTGATAGATGGATGTAGAACTCCGAAATCTACCAAAGAGGCTGAAAAATAGTTGCAGACACTAAAGATGTAGAGTGACTTCCCCCTTTCCTTTCTGGTGCCTTTACTTCTCAGCCATAGAACAGAGTTGTAGGTATCTATAGATTACTGCCCATACTGCCCACGTTATAACCAAATGATCCATGCTCACAGAAAATTCCCCATCAGAAGTCCACTTAATTAAACAGAAACACACATATTTAGTTTGCATGTCTTACCCTGTTCTTAGTAAGGCTCTGAGATTAAAGGATTTAAATGATCTAACTTTCTTTCCTTTTCAATCTACCTGTGGGTCAGAAGTAGAAACAATACACAAAAACTAAAAAATGTGGCTCAGTCCACTGGCTGTATGTGCTCATAGGTGTGTGGTCCCACTCCTCTCAGCAGAAAGACTGTCTTGCATCGAGACCTACAGGTTTGGTTCCTTTTTCTGGTTTAGCTGCATCCTGAGAGCTGCTGTGACCATATAATCTTATTCACTTGCAGTAACATACGCAATAAAGTGACTACTTAGGTGGTCTCATGCTTTTTCCACAATGCCTGCTTCAATATGACTGGCTTTGCTGACAGGCATGAAGTGTCTTTTGCACGCTAAATACCTGTAACTTTTTTTTTTTAATCTTTTTTCTTTTTTTCTCCATACAAGGTACTAACATAACACAGACTTCATCGTGTGCTTATGCAACTACCTACCTCACTGAATGCTTCTTTAGACATCACAAAACTTTACAAATTGGTTACATTTTTTTAGTAACTCATTTATCAACAAATACATTCAAGTGCAAGGAGCCAAGTCCTGTCAAAGCTCCATTCCTGCCTCAAGAAAAGTATTATCTATTGAACAAATGAAATTATCTTCATTCATGTTAGTTATCTCAGTCAGGTTAGTCAGGAAAGGAGAAGAAAGCAGATGGTTGTTTGAGTTCAGTGCAGTACAGCATAATGAAATTCTCCTGAAAGTACAAAACAAAATCTCCGAACTATTAATCATCATCTTCAAGACCTCACAGATGTTGAGGGTGATTCCAGACGACTATGGAAAACATACACACACTCACATATATATGTGTATATATAACCATACATAGAGACCAACAAAACAGAGCCCAGGGAGTTACAGAATTAATTCTGATATCCACAAAGATACCAAATAAATTATGGAGCTATCCACTTATAAGCACCTTGGAGATAATTAAAATGATAACAAACAGCCACCACAGATTTGTCAAAACCAAATCATATGACACTAATATAATTTCCTTCTTTTACAAAGTAACTGGCTTACTGGATAAAGGAAAGGTGAAAATGTAGCATACTTTGACCTTTGTTAAAACTGTTACACAGTTCTAGCTGACACTATCTCAACATAAAAAAGAAAACACCCGTGCAGATAAGATCATTTTAATGAGGAATGGGAGTACATATCCAATTAAAAGAATCTATTTTCAAAAAGTAGTTATCTAACAGCAAAATATTTTGAGATATGCATTGCAAAGATGTGATGGGTCCACAGCAACTATTTTCATTAACATCCCTGTGGTCAAATAACAAATGCACACAGAATTTTGCTGATAACACAGAAGGAAGGGGGCAGACACTGACTGATGGAAGCAATGGTAAGAAATCAACATGATGAAATACTCCAAAACCAATTGCAAAAAGTACTCCTAGGAGAAAAAAAACCAAAAAACCAAAACCACAACAAACCACAACAGAGGCGCAAAATGAAAATGGAGAATAACTTCCAAATAGCAAAGAAAAGGCTTGGGGAAATCAGGGGAATTAAAAAAAAACTGCAATGTTGCTGCAAAACAAGAAAGACTAATTCTAGGTTGTACTTAGAACTGGAAAATAGAAAACATGGAGGTAATTATTTTGATTAATCTGTCACTGGTGGAGCCTCTGGAAGACTATGGTGTCCCATTTTGGATGTTCTATGCATATTAACACATCCACTAAAAATTAATTTGAAAAGGGGCAAGGATGACTCAAAAGCTGCTTAGAAAATGTAACCAGTGAAGAAAGGTTGAAACAATTGTTTTTTTCTTTGGAAAAGATAAAGCTGAGAAGTACAACAAAATGTCTTCTGAGTCTAGTTATATGTCAAAGAGTTGTCTTCAAAAAGACCTGGAGGAAGAGCAAAAAAGAGGAAGGACAAGGATCAGTAAAAGATACAGCTTCACGATTCTCTAAGTTCTTCTCCTCAGCACTGGTGAGGCCACACCTGGAGTGCTGTGTCCAGTTCTGGACTCCTCAGTACGACAGAGACATGGACAGACTGAAGAGAGTCCAACAAAGGGCCACAAAGATGATGAAGGTGCTGAAGCACCTCTCCTATGAAGAAAGGCTGAGACAACTGGAACTGTTCAGCCTGGAGAAGGCTCAGGGGGATCTTCTCAATGTCTATAAACACCTGAAGGGAGGGTGCAAAGGAGATGGAGCCAGGCTCTTTTCAGTGGTGCCCAGCTACAGGACCAGAGGCAATGGGCACAAACTGAAACATGGGAGGAACTGAACTTCATGAAACACTTTTTTTACTGTGAGGGTGACCAAGCACTGGCATAGGTTGCCCAGGGAAGTTGTGGAGTCTCCATCCTTAGTGATACTCAAAAGCCATGTGGACATAGTCCTGGGTGACTGGCTCTAGGTAGGCCTGCTTGAGCAGGAGGGTTGGACCAGATGATCTCTAGAGGACCCTCCCAACCTCAACCATTCTGTGATTCTGTAATGATAATGGTACAAGCTATTGAGGTTTTATATCCTCGCTTACTGGAGTGAGAAATTAGTGAAACATCAGGGTTAGAGATAGAGAAGATAAACTTCTGAGATATTGCCCAGTCCCACATCCTGCAATTTTATAAACATTTTAGAAATTATTCTAGAAATTATGCAAATGATACTAGAAGAATATGGAAAATGTGTAAACTCTATGTTTATACAGGAAAGGCACTTCTTCAATAGACAAACTATAAGCCTCTCCTCTGTGGATTTTCAGCAAAAGACAGAAATAACCTCTCTGCCTCTTGGTCTAGCCTCTTCCAGAAAAAAAAACAAAAAACCCCAAAACCCCCAAACACCCTTATTTCCATTATGGCTGTTGATTCTACAGACTGAAAATCATGTTCTGACACACCACAGTAACTGTACCACTGATTTCACAATTCTCTGGCTTAAATAAAATTCCTGAGACTCCTGCAAGTGTTCCAGCACAGCCACAAACCCCATGAAATATGCAACCATATAGATTTGGAATTCCTGGGGAAAATTTCCTACGGAATCCAGGACCTTACATGCACCCAGCTTAGCAAGCTGTTTGAAGACATGACCCCACGATTATTAATGCTGTTGCTGCAATAACAGTTGTTGCCCTGCCGAGGACAGGGTTTTGCAGACACATTAGGATAGCCCACTTAAAGGAATTACCAAATATCAGTAGAATAAAAAAGAAGTATTTTTCCAAAGTAAAAAAGGCAGGCATGTATTAAGTAGCATTCAATGGATTAGACAAAAATATGAGCTACAATAAAGCAATACGTAACAGCAATCACTATCTAATTGCTCAGGTGCAAAATATATATGTCCAATAAAATCATATGAATGGAAAAAATGGAACAGTGCAGCAAGTGTAACTGATGATTAGAAGTTAAATATCAAGATGATAGTAAGTCATAAGCTACTAAAACCTTCCTCTTGATTAATTATATTTCATTAGAAAGCCATCACATCAATTCTGTTGAAACTATGAAAGATGATGCTGAGATAAATAATTTTTGAAATAAATTCCAGTCACCTTGGAAATTCATTTACTT